GCCTCTGAGGACAGGTGTCACTCCATATCTGCCAAGTGACCCTATGTAGGGGGAACAGTCCCTATTCTGCTCTGTGTCAGTGTGTATCAGGGATCCTTAGGATAGGTGTCAATCCATATCTGCCAAGTGACCCTATGTAGGGGGAACAGTCTCTATTCTGCTCTGTGTCAGTGTGTATCATGGTCTCTGACGACAGGTGTCAATTCATATCTGCCAAGTGACCCTATGTAGGGGGAACAGTCTATATTCTGCTCTGTGTCAGTGTGTATCATGATCTCTGAGGACAGGTGTCAATCCACATCTGCCAAGTGACCCTATGTAGGAGAACAGTCTCTATTCTGCTCTGTGTCAGTGTGTATCATGGTCTCTGATGACAGGTGTCAATCCATATCTGCCAAGTGACCCTATGTAGGTGGAACAGTCCCTATTCTGCTCTGTGTCAGTGTGTATCAGGGATCCTTAGGACAGGTGTCAATCCATATCTGCCAAGTGACCCGATGTTGGGGTAACATTCCCTATTCTGCTCTGTGTCAGTGTGTATCAGGGATCCTTAGGACAGGTGTCAGTCCATATCTGCCAAGTGACCCGATGTTGGGGTAACATTCCCTATTCTGATCTGTGTCAGTGTGTATCAGGGGCTCTGAGGACAGGTGTCAATCCATATCTGCCAAGTGACCCCATGTAGGAGGAACAGTCCCTATTCTGCTCTGTGTCAGTGTGTATCAGGGATCCCTAGGACAGGTGTCAATCCATATCTGCCAAGTGACCCTACGTAGGGGGAACAGTCTCTATTCTGCTCTGTGTCAGTGTGTATCATGGTCTCTGAGGACAGGTGTCAATCCATACCCGCCAAGTGACCCTATGTAGGGGGAACAGTCTCTATTCTGCTCTTTGTCAGTGTGTATCAGGGATCCTTAGGATAGGTGTCAATCCATATCTGCCAAGTGACCCTATGTAGGGGGAACAGTCCCTATTCTGCTCTGTCAGTGTGTATCAGGGGCTCTGAGGACAGGTGTCAATCCATATCTGCCAAGTGTAGGGGAAACAGTCCTTATTCTGCTCTGTGTGAGGAGGAGGAATGGGAAATGAGTAGCTCGGCATCCAACCTTGTGCAAATGGGGTATTTCCTGCTGTCGTGCCTGTTGAGGGACCCTCGTATAAAAAGGCTGAAGGAGAACGACCTGTGCTGGGTGTCCACGCTACTAGACCCCTGGTATAAGCAGACAGTGGCGGAAATGTGACCTAATTACAAGTCGGAAAGGATGCAGCATTTGCAAAATAAATTAAAAAGTATGCTTTACACAGCGTATAAGGGTGATGTCACAGCACAATGGGAATCTAACAGGAAGAGGTGAAAGTCATCCTCCTCCTCCCACGACCACGCCATATCTGCCAAGTGACCCTATGTAGGGGTAACAGTCCCTATTCTGCTCTGTGTCAGTGTGTATCAGGGGCTCTGAGGACAGGTGTCAATCCATATCTGCCAAGTGACTCTATGTAGGAGGAACAGTCTCTATTCTGCTCTGTGTCAGTGTGTATCAGGGGCTCTGAGGACAGGTGTCAATCCATATCTGCCAAGTGACCCTATGTAGCGGAACAGTCTCTATTCTGCTCTGTGTCAGTGTGTATCAGGGGCTCTGAGGACAGGTGTCAATCCATATCTGCCAAGTGACCCTATGTAGGGGGAACAGTCTCTATTCTGCTCTGTGTCAGTGTGTATCATAATCTCTGAGGACAGGTGTCAATCCATATCTGACAAGTGACCCTATGTAGTGGGAACAGTCTCTATTCTGCTCTGTGTCAGTGTGTATCAGGGGCTCTGAGGACAGGTGTCAATCCATATCTGCCAAGTGACCCTATGTAGGGGAAACAGTCTCTATTCTGCTCTGTGTCAGTGTGTATCAGGGGCTCTGAGGACAGGTGTCAATCCATATCTGCAAAGTGACCCTATGTAGGGGGAACAGTCTCTATTCTGCTCTGTGTCAGTGTGTATCATGGTCTCTGAGGACAGGTGTCAATCCATACCTGCCAAGTGACCCTATGTAGGGGGAACAGTCTCTATTCTGCTCTTTGTCACTGTGTATCAGGGATCCTTAGGATAGGTGTCAATCCATATCTGCCAAGTGACCCTATGAGGGGGACCAGTCCCTATTCTGCTCTGTGTCCGTGTGCATCAGGGGCTCTGAGGACAGGTGTCAATCCATATGTCAAGGTGTCAATATGTCATATGTCAGGTGTCAATCCATATTGATTGTGATTTAGGAATGTTAGGTGATTTCTGCCCTTTATGGATTAAAACCAGACTCTGTATCAACTGTGTAATTTTCCATGGGAGTTTTGCCATGGATCCCCCTCCGGCATGCCACAGTCCAGGTGTTAGTCCCCTTGAAACAACTTTTCCATCCCTATTGTGGCCAGAAAGAGTCCCTGTGTGTTTTAAAATTCGCCTGCCCATTGAAGTCTATGGCGGTTCGCCGGTTCGCGACATCACTAATCACCAATCCTTTTCGGCAAGAGCGTCTGCGATCTTGGCTCAGTATAACGTCAAAACTGACTGGAGCCGCATGGATACTGAGCTATTTTGTAGACATTTTGCCGGTCTCAAGACACCAGCTTGTGCAGTTTGTGCTTCAACATCTCATTCCTCGGACTATTGTCCCACTATGCCAGATTCCACACCTGGGACTTTCCGCGAACCACAGACCAGGTTGGACAGATCTGGCAAGGACAAACTTGGTCGCCCTATTGTTTACCTGGGAAAGTCTCAGGTTTGCAATAACTTTAACGTAGGTACATGTGGTTATAGTGCCTGCAGGTTGTTACATGTGTGTTCACATTGTTTTAGGGCACACGCTAAGTCTATGTGTCCCAATAAAAGTCACACTAAACCATACTTGACATCTGTAAAGATTGGTTCTTTGGAACATGCATTAGCCTCTCATCCATCCAAACACCTAGTGGACTTTTTGATTTGGTTTCATGGAGGAATTCCATACAGGGGTGGTTCATACCCCCGCTGGCATTTACAAATGCAACAATTTACAGTCAGCATTTGCAAACGTGGAAATGATTGATGCTCTATTACATAAAGAATTAGAGGATGGGTTTTTATTGGGACCTTTTCACGAGCCCCCATTTTCCAATTGGCGAACCAACCCCATAGGATTAGTCACTGGGAAATCCTCAGGGAAACACAGACTTATTTTAGACCTATCAGCACCTCACTCCTTGGCCATACCAAGCCTTAATTCCCTAATTCCATCCGAGGAATTTTCACTCCAGTACGCCACTATAGACAATGCTATACACCATCATCACAGCTGGCATAGGTGCTTGGCTCAGTAAAACGGACATCGTCAATGCGTTCAAGTTATTACCCATTCACCCGTTACTATGGCATCTGCATGGTTTAAAATGGAAAGGTGTCTATTATTTTTTCACAAGACTCACGTTCGGGTCAAAAAGCAGCCCAAAAATATTTGACATCTTTTCCGAAACCTTATGCTGGCTGCTGTTAAACAATTGCAGATGCCAGGCCGTTATACATTATCTGAACGACTTTCTGTTCGTGGAGAATAATTCCTCTTCCTCCAGTGATTTGACAAAGGCCATATCATTTTTTCATTCTTTGGGGTGTCCCCCAAGAAAACAGAAGGCCCTGACACATTAGTAAATTTCCTAGGTATCCTACTCGATTCAGTAAACATGGAAGTGAGCTTACCTCCAGGAAAAATTGACAGCATACTACAATCCATTAACACATTTTTGGTCAATAGGACATGCAATAGGAAGGAATTGCAATCTTTGTTGGGATCGTTGAATTTTGCTAAACGAATCATCCTGCAAGGCAGGGCCTTTATCTGTAGACTCCTTTGCCTCCTCCCTCTCATACCAAATGACATTACTCGTATCAGCTTGGAGGCGCAGGCTACAGCTGATTTGTTAATGTGGTGCAAATTCCTGTTGCAATGGAATGGCAGAAGTATGTTCTTGCCTCCATTGTCTGTCCACTCTCCGGTCATTTGGACAGATGCGGCAGCATCAACGGGTTTTTCGGCCATATTTGGAAACAAGTGGCTTTGTGATGCTTGGCCAGAGGAGGTCCAACACATTGAAGGTTTCTCACGCACCTCGGCCTTATTTGAGATGTACCCCATTGTGGCGGCAGCAGCGGTGTGGGGTCAGTCTTGGGCAGGTAGCTCGGTACGCTGTTTTTCCGACAACCTAGCTACCTGCCACATCATAAACAAAGGCCGATTGGAGTCTCTTACGATCATGAGATTCATGAGAAGACTGACCTGGCTGGCAGCCTGCAATCACTTTTATTTGGTGTGTTCTCATGTACCAGGGGTCTTTAATACTGCAGCTGACAAATTGTCTCGCTTCGAATTCCAGGCATTCAAAGAGACGTTAGCCATGGCCTCCCCCACAGCCACTGCATCACCATGTTTTCAGGAGCTGGTGATGGACTGAAAGAACTGGCAAAGCATGGGCTCGCCTTGGCTAGTCTAGCCCTGTCCAACAATACTAAACGGTCTTACGATAGGGCCTTCAAACTATACAAGAGGTTTATGATAGAACACAACTTGGTGCAGTTTTTTGCCATTTCCACACTGGTAGCTTTTGTTTCATTCTGTCATCTTAAACTCAAACTGTCACACAACACCATCAAATTATATTTAACCGGCATACAACACCACATGTATACCTTATACGCAGATAACTCTAGTTTCTTATCTTCTTACCCCATTAAAAACATTCTTAAAGGCATACAGAAATCCAGTACCACTCCTCCATCAACAAGATTACCGGTACATAAGTAGCTATTTAAGGATATGTCCGACTTGTTGGACACGGCCCCATTTGAACACTATACAAACATGGTAATCAAAACAGCCATCTACTTGGCATATTATGTCAGAATATTTATATCAACAGACATTTTGTGCTAAAAAGAAATTAAAAGTGTATATTGCCAAATTCACTCAGAATAGAGCAGACTCCATTTTGCTATCTTCAGGATAACAAAAACACATAATTTCCTTGATTTCTTCTTACTTTCTGTAACTAGCCACTTGCTTGAGCTAAGGAATGCATTATCTAAACACAGACACTAGTGACAGAGAAGACTAAGTAATTAATTTTACTTTCTAAATTTTACAAGGTTCCATTGTAAGTAAGGGGTGAAATTGAGTTTAGAACTGTCAATTTTACAAGTTACAATCAAAGTAGTTGCCACAAAGACTGGGACAAATGCTTTGAACTGACAGAAAATCTAAGTTATAGTAGTCATTTTAGATAAGCCAAATGACGTCAAAATCGTCATCAGGAAAAGTTAACTCTTTCCTGGATAGGAAGGTTTCGTTAGACGAGACTGCCCTCTATGGATAAAATACCTAAATTGCGATCCACCGATTGAATCCACCTACGGCTTCCTATTGGTTTATCAACTAATGACATACAAAGAGTCTGGCCCTTTAAAAGTAAGGACAAAGGGAAAAGTTGGAGATAGAGAGAGAGGGAGTTGAAGTTTGGGGACTCCAACTCGGACATGCAGAGAGATCCAGGACATTCTCTGTCCAGGACATTCTCTGAGACTAACACTCTATCCTTAAACTCTCTTGGACACAACTCTTTGACACTTTCTAACCAACACCACTTTTCTCTATCACTCACGTACCTCCATACAACCAATCAAGTTTCTGGGACTATCTACTCATCTGATGAGAATATCTACATAACTGGTAATTATGCTGGCTTTATTTAATTAATTTAAATTAATTAAAATTTACTAATAGCATGATATATGACTGGATAAATCACGGTCAGATTTCCATATTTAGAAATCTTAGTTAACTAAAGAATATATAGTTATACATTCCATTCTGCAGGTGGAATTAAGAATAATTATATATTAATGTGATATTATCACGTGTTAGCATACCGCTGTTTTTATCCAGGTGTATTGATTTGCTCTAATATAAGATAAGATATCTTTTTAGACAAATTAAAATTCGGCTTTTGTAAAAACCTGGTAGATTATTCTTATTGGATGGTTCCAGGAAATGACTAATGAGTTGGTTTACATGTTATTTTAATTGAAAATCACAGGAGAATAGGATACTATATGTCTAGGAGGATCTAGCCAGCATTGAAAGGGTTATTTAGTTGTTTTAACATAAATACGCACAAAACTGCATCAAACGGTCCCATCTCACCAAACTACATGATCACTTTATCTTGTCACTACCAGTTATGAAAACAAGCCAGCTGGGCAAGATGGTACCAGTCACATATTATCCTACTGCAAACAGATGGTGCCTGGTGAAAGTATTGGATACATACCTCCACTCATTACTACCGCAGTCTGACATCCCGCTGCTAGTCTTACACAAAGAGGTCTTAACAACAGCCAAATTCATGCAATACATCCGCATGTTACTGACCAGACTAGGTCTGAACGCTGGCAACTTTTCTGGCCATTCAATTCGGATAGGGGCAGCCTCCACAGCCTCCAGCCGAAATATTCCAGTACATGTAATCAAGTCTTTGGGCCGCTGGAAGTCCTCAGCCTTTGCTTTGTATATACCTCACCTTTCTGTTTTAGAAAGTAGGGCGGCATTTGATAAACTGTCATCTTGAGGTATTTTCTTTGCACTATGTTTTTCTATGCAATAAATATTTTCTTTGGCAAAGACACTGCTTATTTTTGCCCTCTTTATTATATATATATATATATATATATATATATATATATATATATATATATATATATATATATATATATATATATATATATATATATATATAAATAATCAAAGTATATTTTATTTGTAACTGTAACATATTTTATTTTTAACTAATATTTTATTTTTCACAGGAGAGGGGCAGAGACAGTGTCAGCCAGTGATTTCACATCACTGGCTGACACACAGGATCAGTGATCACAGTGACTGGCTGTCACTGTGATCACCTCCTGCAGATCATGGTAATTGGCAACAGGGGGAGTGCCTAGGTGGCCAGGCATGCCCCCACCGCGATCTGCAGGGGGATCCTGCCTGCAGTTACTATGTGTCACCCAAGAGGCTGACAAATAGTAACTCTGATCGCAGTGACAGGCTGTCACTGCAATCCGATCGCAGTGAGAGGCTGTCTCAGCCAGGCATGCCCCCCGAACGCGATCTGCAGCGGCCATGTGCCGCCGGCCACGTGGGAGGCAAGACCGATCTGCAGAGTAAAAATGCCGCGGCTCCATGTGTCAGCCGATTTTAAAATGGTAAATACCGATCGCAGTGACAGCCTGTTACTGTGTTTGGAAGCTGCAGACCACGGTCCCCGGGCACAGGGGGCTGCCTGGGGGGCCAGGCATGCCCCCCGACCGCGATCTGCAGCGGCCATGTGCTGCTGGCCATGTGGGAGGCAAGACCGCCGAGGGCGTTTAAAGCCATCCAAATAGGGATGGCATAGAACGCCCTGCGGTCTTAAGGGGTTAAGGTACAGGCACCAAATACTAAATATTCATTTTATTCACAGATCAAGTGAGAAGAAGTATCTAATTGAGGTAAAAAGAGGAGAAGCAGTCAAATAATCTATATTTGTGAAGCAAATGACAGGAAAATGTCCCTACAAATACATGCATACTATTTATATTGTGCAGTACATGTATTGCCAAATTTTTGCTCCATTTTGGTTAAGCTCAATTGCTTTTCTTGAAAGGATTGCATTGCCAAAATTCATCTGAACAGAAATGCCATCATACCTTAATCAACCAAAGCAAATGTTATTTTCAGGCAAATTGATTTGGACGTACCAAATTGACATTATCACACTATATAATTCTATAAAGATATATATGGGCCCTGTAAGAAAACAATAATAAAATAAAAATAAGTTATTTTAAGAAATAAAAAGAGGAAGAAGTGAAGAAACAGTCATGTTTAAATGAATAAAATAATTTTCATAAAACAATAAAAAAATGTTAAATGCAAAAAAATAAAAATAAAATATTGGTTCACGAACCTCTTAGTGTAACATTATAACATTTTAAATAATGTCATATATTGATACGAACGATCCAGCTAGGATAGTTCAGACTCATAACTGGTATTGATTAAAGGCACCAACTATCTTTGATGCCAAGGGTATCAGTGAGGATTCATTGTTAGTTCATTAATGCATGAGTCATTCAATCAGACAGCCAGGGATGCTTTCTTACCAGTCCTTTAGCTCTACAGAACTAATGGAAGTGGCTAGCCTAGAGAGTGTCTGCCTTCATAACTTCTTAATGAGACTGATATAAGCCTCTGGTTGATCAATCTGTCAGGGGTTAAGGGAAGGGCTTGCAAAGCACATTTTTCCATATATCACCCCCAAAAACACGCATGTTTTTTAGGGGGTATATCAACTGTATTTTTCAATGGAGTGTCCCTTTATATTTTTCTCCTTTTATAACAAATGATATAGGGCATTACCAATATACTTAAATTGTTTTCATCTATATAAATGTTAGATTCCAGATAAGTACTGTTTATTTATTTTTTATTATTATTTTAGCATACCTTGTTTAAAGAGACACTATTGGCACCCAGACCACTTTAGCACATTGAAATGGAGTGCAATGTCTCATGTCCATTAACCCTACTATGGTAATTTTTGCAGTTTCTGAGAAACTGTAATAATTACCTCTGAGGGTTAACTCCTCCTCTAGTGGCTGTCTTCCAGACAGCCACTAGAAGGACTTCTGTGTGCTTAGATGACTTTTGGTCACCTAAACGACACTGGATGTCCTCACACTATGCATGAGGACTTCAGCATCATCTGAATCCCCATAGAAATCTAATGTCTAAAATCTAAAATCGAATGTGAGCGCAGCCATTGATGTCGATGATGGAGGAGCGTGGACGGAGCCTGACACAGCACCGAGGGACATTGGCTGAAGGGGTTTTAACCAATTCAGTCCTGCGGGGGAGGATTAGGAAGCACGAGGGAGGGGGCACTGTAGGAACCTATAGTGCCAGGAGTTTTCCTGGCACTCTAGAATGCCTTTAACACGTGACTAACCAGTACTACTTTGTTTCTATAGTTGCCTAAGCTATACTAATTGACATTATTTTTTACTGTCCATGTCCTACAAATATTGGTTAATGTGCGTAAGCCCCCATTTAATATTTTTTGGATAAGCTTGTCAAATCATTTAATATTTTGTGCTAAACTTTAAAACATATTTAATATTAACAGTCATGTTTAAATTAATAAAATAATTTTCAAAAAACAATAAAAATAAAATATTGGTACACCAACTTTTTCAGTGCAACATTTTAACATTTAATATAATTTAATTTATTGATACGAAAGTTCCATCTAGGATAGTTCAAGTTCATCACTGATTCTGAAGACACAACTTTATTCCTTTAGGTCACTTAAAATGTTGCTTTTTTATGTGTAAGAAAAATAAAATAATTATCTCAATAATGGATTATTATGAGCTAAACAAAATTACTGTTAATAACCAATATCCTCCACCTATTGTCTCTGAATGACCTCAGGAATTAGAATAAAATTATGTAGTATTTAAACTGATATTAACTATTAAACTTTTCTCAGAAATGTTATTTTAAAAAGGATACAAAACAGGTGAAAGGGTTTAAATAAAAAAAAAAGGTAAAAATGGGAAAAACACATTCTCCATCCACAATCAGTTAAACATATGAAACGTCAAATACAAAAGAATAAAGATTATATATATATATATATATATATATATATATATATATAGCATGACATATTTTACATATGCAATTTAACATACAACAGAATCCCAAAGTACAAATGATGAATAATTCTAGAAATAAATAAAATATAAACATTGGCACTGTATGCTAAAACAATCTGTTTCTATCTCTTCTAAATAAAAATAATATGGAATAAATGACTTAAGGGAGGAGTAAAATTGAAGAAAACAAAATGAAAAACAGGGGGTACCAAAAATACGAGGGGTGAAAAATAAGGCCTTGAGGGATATGGGTATAAGGAAAAATAATTAATCTAATCCCCTCCTTAAAAAAAAATCAGGTCTGTTAGGTTGGGGGGCAATTTTAAATCCACATAGATATTAGATCTGGTTATGATTCCATAAGGCCAAATATCTTAATGACAACATATCCCCACATTTATGCAAAAAATTAAAAAAATAAAAAACAATTACTTTGATGTTACACAGTAGCTGTGACTTTTGATGCTCTTAATATACAGGTT